ACGACACCACCACTGTGATGAAGTTTTGTACGAAACCACCACCGTGATGAAGTTTTGTACGAAACCACCACCGTGATGAAGTTTTGTACAACACCACCACTGTGATGAAGTTTTGTACGAAACAACCACCGTGATGAAGTTTTGTACGACACCACCATCATGATGAAGTTTGTACAACACCACCACTGTGATGAAGTTTTGTACAACACCACCACCATGATGAAGTTTTGTATAACACCCCACCATTACGAAGTTTTGTATAACACCGCACTGTGATGAATACTATCTGGCTATGAATATAAGCACTAGAAAAAATCAATAAAGGAAAAAAACAAAGAAAAAGATATTTTAAGCATAAATCTTGTATATTATGTATTTCACGATGAATATTAGCAACAGGAAACATCTGTAAAAAGAGACATTTTGAACATAAATCCTGTATATCTTGTATACTATCTTATAATGATATTGAGTGGAGAAAACACTGTCATATCTTGTATTTGTCAGAGACCTTCAGTCTTGAACACAGATAACTGCCTTAGGACAACACAATAATTTGCTGATAAGTTTTATGTCATTCAAATTTCTATACAATACCATTACTCAACAAATGAGCTAAATACTGGAAACAAATATAAACTATTGATATGTTAAGTATAATTCAGTTTTTTCTGTTGTCTAAATCAGAAAATCAAATTCATTACACCATATGATCACAATATAAACCTAGAGCCGAGATATTTTTGGTGTATATTTAGTCATATCACACAACTGATACTAGGTACATATCAATTAAATTAATTCATTTATCACATGTACAATCCTATCAGGTCAATCCCACCTTGCTTCCACCTAACACACCCACTGTTATTACACATATTTTAGCATTTGTTCTATCCCAGAAATAATTTTTAAATATTCAACTTATTTGTGAATTTTTCATCAAATTTGTTTACTTACCAAAGTTTAAATCAGCAGCCATTTTCTGATATACTATGGGATCAAGGCTAAAGAGTTATCATTCTTGAGCAATTTTGAGAGTTCTACAAATGACCATGAGAAGTATTTCAGTCACTGTGCATGTATCAATACTTTAACTGCCTTTAAAATGTAAAACAAAACTATTTTATTAGAAACAAAATTACTTATACACTAAATTTTGCACATAAAAACAAATGACAACACTGACCTAAAATCTTACCTAATTAAAATAACAATTTACACTTGTACTTTGTTATATCCTTTTACATTATCTTGGCAGTTTTCAATACGTGATTTGGAGAATTTTTGGAGGTATAGTTTCTTGTTCTAATAATTACAACAACAATAAATTACAAGTTAGCATTTCAGAATTCCAAAGTGTGTCATACAATTTCGGACCCAGATTCAATAAAGGTTATGTTTGACGATGAATCTTGGGCAAATTGATCAAACATAAATGGAAGCTAAAATAAGGTTTAAAATAGACTTTAAAATCTTAAGTTAACATTTAAAGGTGATAAATGACTTAATAATATGAATGTATTAAACAGATCATCTACAGACTAACGTTGGACAAGTAAAAAGTTTAATGGTTGAGCAACTTATTTTTCTTAGTCTCTCTTACAAGACTACAAAATAAATCTGTTAATAAATTATTAGAATAATATTGTTGGTGTTAATATTAGATATATTTTTTTATTATTACTAAATATTAGTATTACTATTAGTAGACATCAGTTAGTGAGTTACCGTGTTATTCAACTAATTGTTAAGCCTAAGTTCAACAAGTCGAGCCGTCAAATTACGGAAAAAAACAAGTACTGCTAACATGGAAACTTACGTTTGAAAATATAATATAAGGAATTGGTAATCAAATATTTAATTTAATGTTTTTAAATGATTTATTTCTATATATAATATGCACACTAGTCTTTCAAATATAAATTTATGATATTTTAAAAATATATTGTATCCTTCCCTATTAGAAATGTCATTTAACAATATTTCTTAAATTGTTTCTATTAATAAACATTCTTAATAACTAACATAAATATTTTTGTCGTCTTAGGTGGTAGAGGGGCGTTCACTGTCTTCTTATAATCGCAGGATTGGTGTTACTGTTAAAACATATTTTGGTAGTAACTGTTCGATACAAAGTGATGTAAAAGTAGCATTTGTAAATTAGTAATGAATAACTGTACTACTAAATAATATTTCTGGCAATAAACCAATACTAACACTAGTACTAATATATTACTTGTTGCAATAAATAAGTCGAGTCAGTGAATTACATCCATTGGCCAGTAACTTCTTAAGGGCGGACTTGGTTAGTAAGGCTAAGTTATGCCTTAGGGTTTGTTTTTAGGCATAATGTTTAAAATATGTTGACTTATTATTTTACTGCATTCTTTGATATTACTGTTAAGACATCTCAGTGCCAAATAGGTTGATAATGTTTTATGTCCATTTAATCCAGAAGGTGAGCCGTAGGAGCAACCACGCCAAAAATATTGGAGGGAGGAGAGAAGATGGAATTTTATGAATTCCTGTGTGCTGAAAATATCTGTGATTTTTTTTTTTACATAGCATGTCCTGCGAATTTAATGCCCTCAGTGCAACACTTACTTACTAAATTCTATTTCTACACCTTAAAGAAAACAACAACAACAAATTACCCAACATTTCAAAATTGTTAGGCAACGCAGAATAACTTTTTTAAATGTTGTTAGAACTTTGACAATCAGGAGAAAAGAATAATTAACAAGACAAAACAGTTCTTGTGCTTCTAGTCCTGATGAAGCCACAATGGCGACACACTGGCTGAAATAGTTTATTATAATCTGGAGAGTAAAGAAGGTCGTTTTATTTCTGACTCTACTGCCAATATTTCTTAGCCCCTACAGTATGCACTACAAATTCTGAAAAAAAAAAGCAAAAAAAAAACAAAAAAACAGAAAAGTTCAATTCAAACAAAGGAACACTGAAATTTTTACTGAGCAAGATTAGGCCATATTAAACCTTTCTGCTAATGTTCTACACCTTCGCTGTAATTTACAATGTTCCGAAATACATAAAATGGTAGCATTACTTTTCAAATTAGTTAAACAGTTTAAGTAAAATATATGTGGACAAGGGGAATTATTCAATGAAAAATAACAATATTCATTCACCGTTCAATTTCTATTTTATTATACGTCACATAAAATCTAAGGTTGCATTTCAACAGCACCCCAATGGCTCACCGGTAAGTCTGAACATTTATAAGGCTAAAAATCGGGTTTCGATATCCGTTGTAGGCACATCACAGATAGCATATTGTATAGCTTTGTGTTTAACAACAAACAAACAAAAGCATTTCAACATGATATAAAAATTAAACTTTAACCAATATACGAGTCATTTCCTTTGCAAGTTGGACCAGCGTTGCAAAACTAATAAATACGCAGTAACTGGAAACGCTTACTTCCTCAGACCTAGTTTTTATTCCGAAAACCACCCTGTTTATGTAAAGTGCTACCTTTGACAAAGATAAATAGCAATAACTAATACTGAGGTTGTTTTGAACCTTTTTCCGAATGAAAAGGCTCCAACTACACCATATGAACATATATTATTTGGATAAGTAAAGAAAGCGTCACACAATGCTGTAACTGAATAATTAATAGGTTAAAACTTTCTAAAAAAAACAAAACAATCCATAACAAAAAATCGCTAATATTCATTACAGACCCAGATGGAACCATAGATTTCATTTCCAATAAAATGATCAGATCTTTGTTGTTCTATTGGCGCAAGCATGCAGTGTGTTACATTGTGTTTAAGTGCGCGTTACAAAGAATTAAGGATAACGAAACCTTATCAGCTACACACAGAAAGCTCGATAGCTAGATTATGTGTCTAAAAAGTTAAAGTACAAATTTTGACATGTTTCCGAATTTTTAGGGAGTGGTCATAAAGATTATCTGGAATAGGTGAGGGAGACACTCAAAAGGCCCCCTTCGATTTTCGCGCCTATGAAGTCAACTGAAAGTTAAACAAAATCTAGATCAAACACTTAATATTTAGTTTCTCACAATAATAGGTAATGAGAATTTTTATTATTGTATCGCTGTTGTTGTGTTCAATGTGAAGAAGTGTAATTCTAAGAAATGTTTTTTGTTTTTTTAACGCTTCAGTACGAACCGCTCGGCATGGTCTGGCGGTTAGGACACTCGACTCACAATCTACTTCTCAAATCCCATCACTGACCATGCTCACTCTTTCAGGCTTTATAGTATGACGGTCAATCCCATTATTCATTGGTAAAGAATAGCCCAAGAGTTGGCGGTGGGTGGTGTTTACTAGCTGCCATCCCTTTAGTCTATCACTTTTAAATTAGGGACAACTAATGGAGATAGCTCTCGAGTAGCTTTGTGCGAAATTCGACAAACAAATCTTTGATAACGTTCGACGGGCTACATTCGTTGATAGGGTTAACTCACAAATACAGCTTAACACGCACTTACTTGCAATATTTCTTCTAGTACCTACAGCACAAACTCAAGAAAAAAGTCCAGTAATAAACTGATGAACTAACGAATACACTATCTGACTAATTAGCTCTCTCTGACATAATCATTCCTTGTATTTTTATATATAACAATAATTATCCTAAAACTTCCTATAGCAAAAAACATCTAAGTTAAAAGAGTACAAATATTGTCTACAGCAGTAATACGTAGCAGTTTCCCACCTGATACCAAAATTTTAAAATCATATGAAAATGAATTCACCAACTACGTAGAAAGTAAAACTATAGTGGTAGTGAACAAAATTGGCATATTTGAAAAATACGATTTCATAATTGAAAAAAATAATATATACATATACACGTATATATATATATATATATTTCTTTATTCGGGCAAAATTTTCAGGTGCTTTGTTTTTAATCTCTAATGAACAAAACATGAATAGTAGCCACAATCTAAAAACAACAGAGGTCATCACAAACAGTCGTGGGATAAAATTGTTTTGTTTTTCTTTCTCAGTAGAGCTTGTTGTTTTCAAATGGCTTATTATAAATAGTTAACTTTTAAATTTGATAAATCCACATAAAAATAAGTACCAGATAACCCCTATTGAAGAATGTTCAGTGTGTGTTTAGATGCATAAAGCAGTTCGAACATTGGACCTTCTGATTGACAGCCTGGACACTATACACAGGGCCATTACCAATCCAGTTTGCATATATGTAAGTGTGTCATTTGTTCAAAATGACTTCTTGAGTGAATAATGTTTTGATGGGTAATGAAGAAAACTATTACAAGTTTAACATAGTAACAAATCAACAACATTTCGACATGGGTTTGTAAAAACCAGGTATAAGTAGTTTACATGGACACATGAATCAAGACACACAGTAGTTTGTCGTGCGGCTAAAGCAACCTGCAGGATACGAGTGATAATTGAGCGATTTTCAACCTTCTGTAGCTTGGACTATTACATATTTTCTGTAGATGTGCTTTACTGGAACCTTCTTCGCATACCACATTTTAAGGCAATCCATTAAGAAATACCTGAGATATAACATCACTAATTTTGATTGAATTTATTCTGTTTTTTCTTTGCACCCAAAGTGCGGAAACTTTATATTTTTGAAACACATACTTATATGGATTTTTTTTTCTTTCGAATTTGGTAAACAGATAAATCTTTACAACTTGCAATAGGTGTCAAATGTGGTATAAATATAAGCCAAAATCTGAAAAGTTATTCAACAAAAACTGCTAAAATTTGACCAAAATGTTTGCGCATGCCTAAGCAAAAAGTAACGTGAGCTATCGGTCTAACATTTTTACTACAGCTTCACCTAAGAGTAAAAATGGACCGATTTAAGTTTTTGTCATTCGGAGTAAAGATTCAAAGTAGCTTAAACATGTTAACTAACTGACAGATACAAAAATATTCGTTGGTAAAAATGGACTTAAGAGAAAGAATTGAAATTACCTGTTTAATTAAAATATTAATCTCTACTTACTCAGAACTTCCACCCAGTGCTGCTCAAGAACCACCCGTTACAGAGAATCAAGTCCTCACCACATTTTCAGCAACCATCTCTCCACCCTCAAGTCAGGGAAGTCCTCCATCTATTGCATCCCCTCTTGCTATTCCAAATATCAGTTCAGATCCTGTACCCTCTGCATCAGTGAGTCTACCCATGAGTCCACCATCTACTGTTTTAAATGACACAGATCCAAGCACCACTACAAGTCTGGACTTTGATCTTCACCTGGACCTAGAAGACTTTGAAAATATGGAGGTTGGTGTGTTGGGGTCAAGTGAAGAGCACAAGGTAGAGTCTAATGACACTTACATCCAACAGGTCAACAGCCAGCCTGCCACTGAGAGGAACTCCATAGCTGCCTCTAGCCTTAGTGATTCAGTACACTTGCATGACCCAGGAATGGACATTGAATTGACAGAGTGGCTTGATTCCATGATGCCTGTTACGAGTACAGTGGGTCCCTCTACAAGTGGAATCAACAACACACAGCCTATTGGCAGTGTAACCAATGACCATGACCCACTTCTGTCTAACATGAGTGTCCAGCACGACCCTTTTGACTTGTTATGTGTTGACGAAATAGAATTCAAGACTCCAACTTTGATGTGGGATTTTGCTACTTAAAATCGTTTCTGTGATATAGAGTGGTCCAGCTTTTTTTTCTCTTTACCTTGAATGTAATATTTAGAATTAGAAATGCTAGCCAGGATCTTGTGGTTTGATATACTCATTAAAACTAAAATTGAGGACCAAAATACTCTTGCTGGTGCTTAGACCATTAAAATGAGTACGTTGAATCATGTGGAAAACATTAAGTTATTTTGTGTTTTAAAAGCTGGAACAACTTTCATAATTTTGTGTCAGTAAAGCCGATTCATCAAAATTACCACAATTTTTTTCCAAAACGTTTTACATAGGATTGTTATGTATTGTGTCAATTACTTGTTTTATATAATTTACAAAGTTTTTTTGAGAGTGCATATTTGAAATGCATGGTGTGAAACTGGCTTCCAAGGACACATACCATACAGAAGAACTGTTTCTTATTTAGGTTTAATTAAACACAAGAACAAATTTGCTGAGTAAATAAGTTTTCTAAAAGTGATGTTTCACTTTTATCTGTTACATAAAAAAAAGAACTTTTAAAATCGGTAGGCCTAGAGTGTGATATGAAGTTCTTTTTACAAAAAGGACGTTCACTTTAAGAAAAGGAGTTAATAAAATAATTTAAATCATTTAATCGTTATTTTTGTAGCTTTATATGAAATAATACAATTACCAAATGTTAACAATTAACTTGTCTTGGTGTAGGTAAGTATTAATGGCATTGTTTAATAAGCGAAAATGGCAAGTGAACAAAATATTACATACTTTTAATTGTTTTATTTCACAATTACTTAAAAGAATAACAACTGGTTATATTTATTGTATTGACTTCTTTTCATAATCTAAGTCAACCCTCCTTTAAAATCAATCTACTTAGATTGAAAGTTGTAGTCTTATAAGATAAACTCTTTTGTTAACATTTACCAACTTGTGTCCTGGAGTGTTTTGAGCTGGTATCATAAATTATGTATATTTGTGTAAAGTAAAATATTATACTGACAGATGGACTGTACAATACAACATGAGTCCAGAAGATTTTTTTTTCAGTCAAAATAGATGGAATTGTGAAACTTTAAGACACCTACAATTTCTGCTTGAAATATATGTAGTGAAAATAAGTGGGCAAGTGTGTTTAGGTGTTTCACAAGAGTGTAGTATAAATATATTTACTAATTGAAAAGTCATTATAGGCTTAAACATAAGATATAATGTTAATAAAATTAATATATTTACTAATCTACAAGTGATTACATATAATATATACTGTTAATGAAGTTTAATAGATGTCCATGAATTATTTTTGTTAATTACATCATCATAGTGGGCTTATGAAATCAATAAAATGTGCCTTATTAAAATACTTTGTTCTCACATATTACACATTTAATTGAATGTTTCATTTGAAACAATATTAACCATCAGTTATATTTATATTTTCCTTGCTTAAAAGGAATTATATTACAGATTACTAAACTACTCATGTTATTTGGTCCAATCATTTCATACAAAATCTTTGTAGAAAAGGTTGTTAATCCATTGTCATCTTAGGGGTGGCTCACTTTAACCCTTTCTATGATTTGCCCAAAATTTCTCGAGTGCTCTCCATGTTTCAAAAAATATATACTGAGTTCATTTGGGCAAAACATTTTTAATTATTTGCCCAAATTTGTTTTCATGTTATATTACAATGGGCTATCTAAAAGCAAAACAAAAAATTTGCCATTTTTTAGCTCATTTCCAAAAAACAAAATTGACACAGAAAGTTTTAAGAAAATCACTTTTTGTTTGCTAGCAATGTGCTAGTTTAATCTCTGTTTAATTTGTTCCTTACAGATTTTTCTCCTTCCATAAATAATCTTATCTAACCAATAGCAAAACGAGTCATTAGAGACCCATGAAATTGTGTAAAAAAGTTTAAACATTTAATGTGCCAAAAACACCTTCATGACGTACATTTTGTTTGAAAACTGTCTTTGTTACAAGTTTAGAAATAGCACACAATCTTCAGTGCCTGTAATGTAGATGTTTCTACTCTTAGGTGAACACACCCTTTAGCATTAATGTACATAAGTGTTGTAAATTGTTTTAAATAGCTGTGTCCATGGAGTCAAATCATTGTAATGGTTACTTGCAATAAACATACCTGTTGCGTCTACATCGTGAGACTGGTTTTTGTGATAGGTTCTTTAAATTTAATCTGGATTTCCTGATTTTTTATGAAATTGCATAAACCATGATTCGAAAAACTTTTGTCAGTAAAATAGATACATATAGTTACCTTTAAGTAATCAGTAAGAAAAGAATTGTAAGAGATACTTGGTTAATAAGTTTCATATAAAAATGGAGTTAAGAATACTGTAAGGACAATATATATTTAACTTAAAGTAATTATTACAGAAAAAATAAAGGTTTTTCTGTTTGCTCATTATTTTCCTAACGGCAATAGCTAACAGTGAAGTTATCATTCTATAAAATTAAAATTCTGTTAAAATAAACAACGAAAGTTTGATTTTGTCAAAATTAGTCTTTTAGATTTGGCCGCACCTTTTTCTCACACCTAAAGTGTTGTTTATATGAAAGCATGACCTTTTGTCAATACACGCCAACAAACCACAGCAAGTGAGAAAGTTACACTCGATAGTAACCAACATTAGCTTTAGGATTGCAATCCTTTTATTCGGGACAGACTTCTATTTTATAGAATTAACCAACTTCTTTAAAATATATGGTGGTAGTTTTCCTCTCTAAAACAGTATTAATAACTTCGTTTATAGTAACGCCATGGAATCTAATCAACAGTTTTTTGTCATCACCTGCATGCACTCAGTACAGCCGTATCAAGCATCATTATTTACGCTAATTGCTTGAGCTAATATCACGTGACGCTAAACGCTCTTTAATTACGAGAATTTAGTAAATTTATGCTTAAAAGTTGGCAATGAATAATAACCACCCACCCGTATGATTCTTTTGAACACGTGAGCTAGAAACTCCAAATTTAGTTTGCTTGGCCTAACCAATATTTATGTATCTGCACGTCCTTTCACCCTATAGTTTTCAAGATGGGTAGGATATCCCTTGTGCTTAACATCAATGGAAAACAAAGCAATATGGATTAACTTGGTACAAAATGCCACATCCCAACTGTGGAAGTCAAAGTGTGGCATCTTGTAACAGGTAAGAATCTACAAACACAAAGATCAGAACAAGAGCCCTCCAATTGTTCCAGGCTACAGCACATAACATAGAATAAGAAAAATCTCCATCTGGAAAAGTGACATAAGTCATAGGTACACATGAAGGTTGAGTCACCACTTCTGGATTTCTGTGTGAACAATCTGGTGATGAGAAAATTTCATCCACATATACTAGATAAATTATGGAAAGTAGCAGGGAAGAGTGGTATGCTTCAAACATGACATCTTTATAGCTTTTTGCAATGGAAACTACACTGCTGGGCTATTGTTAAGATGCATAACCATCAGGCAGAGCATGAAAGGACATATATAATAACTCGGTGAGGCTTCAAACTTGTTTTAATATAGCACACTCTGCTTAACTGTAAACTATATGTGGTGTTAAAGTTTTCACAATGGCTACTGTTCTGCAGTTCGAGTCATTTTAAGGGTGTACTTGCTTTATTTTGCCCAAATCACATAAAAAAATCAATTTAATTCTTAATATTATATGTCTGGTTGGTAAAAAATGGTTTCACTTTTGAATAGGATTTTTTCATCTCATTGTTTGCTGTATTAGATGATGGAAGTTTTTAAACATCCTAATATTGTGGTGGAGGGGGGGGGGGTTAAATATGAATCAGTTTTATTCTTCAACAGAGTTTTCATACTAAATTGGATTAATGTTCTTTTATTTTTCACATGGCCAATTCATCATGAAAACTTTGCCTCCCTAATTCATCATAATTAATTAGTTAGTTTATATTTTTTTCATCATGAATTCTCCTTTATTTATAGGATGAACATTGTACTGTTCAGGTTTTTGATGGTAGAAAAGTTTTGTTTCATTCAGAAGCTGTTTTCTTTCACATCTATAACTTTATCGAAGAAACTGAAAATGTGAATTTAGTACAGTGTTACAAATACAATTATAGATTGGTTGAGACCAAAAACAGAAGTAATTCTTATTATGTTAAGATAATCTGTTTAGACTGAACGTTAGTTGGAAAAAATTAATAAACCAAAAATTCTAAATCTTGACTTGTATGCATCTTTGTGACCCAACTGTATGAATATTTAGCAGCGGAAAGGACTATAACATAGCCTTCCAAAAATGGGTAAATTTTTGGAGGAATAACATTAGCTATGAAACATTAAACAATGTCAACATGCTTTTCGGATATGCTATTTCTTGGTGACTTTATATCAGCTGTGGTGGTCATGACTTGCTGATTTGCATACTCAAAATTGTTTTAATGTAACGTACTCAACGCCCTGTATGCTCAATGACTATGATTGCAGAATATAAGTCATTCCATAAATTTTAACAAATATTCTCTTAATGTGACTTGGATTACAGAACAGAAATTGGTGTGAAACCAGTAATGACAAATATACTCTTAACATGACTTGGATAACAGAACACAAGTTTGTGTGAAATCATTAATGACAAGTACACCATTAACATGACTTGGATTGCAGTAAAGAAGTCAGTGTGAAACTATTAATGACAACTATGCCCTTAACACGACTTGGATTACAGAACAGAAGTCAGTGTGAAACTATTAATGACAACTATGCCCTTAACACGATTGGGATTACAGAACAGAAGTCAGTGTGAAACTATTAATGACAACTATGCCCTT